TTCCCGCATATATCTAAATGTTCACTAAGCTTAATTTGTCTGTATTGCGGGTTATTAATATGCTGTTTGTGGACTCTTATCCGAGCTCTCAGAGTAGTACTAGTTTCTCCGATGTAAAATTCGTTACAACCCGGGCATGTTATGACATAAATTAAGTTCTTAGTTTCACAGGACATGTCAGCATTTACAGTGAAATTTCGGCCCCGGAAGTTGTAGCTGGTTCCGTCCAAAATATAGTCGCAGGTACCGCATCTCGGGTCATTGCATTTAGTTACGGAACAATTATTTTCCTTGAAACTGGATGTGCACAGAATTCTTTTTAAATTTTTAGCCTGGCGTTTGCTATTTATAAATTGAACATTTCGGTAAATTGCGTTTGTGTTCTCATCCTCCTTTAGTATCAGGTTTAATTGTTTTACCACTGGTAAACAGCAATTAGGATAGAAGTAGCGAAACAACGTATTCACGGAGAAATTCAACTACTTCGACGAAGGTCAAATAATAGCTACAAGAAAGTAGCTGACTTCGACTCCCAAATGGAAATAGAGTTGACAAAAAAGGCCTCCGGCAAAGTCTTAGAAATGCTTCAAGGTATGTGGTTATCTGACTGTGAGAATGAAGAGCACAAATCCGTCAACAGGTGGCGTTATGCAGAAACATGGCTACTTGACTATGAAAAAAACTACGGCAAGGAACCAGTTAAGGAGAAGAAACCACCAAAACAACCTCCCTCTGGAAAAAATACAATCCCATCGTCAAAAGCTAAGACATATGCAGCAGCTGTAAAATCTACTGGACCAAATATGCCAGTTAACACTCAAAATCCTCAGCGCCCTAATCGACCAATAAAGAAAATAAACAACGAAAAAAGACAAATAACTTTGCATTCCGTAAAAACAAAAATAAATATGGGAAGCTACACTATCCGAGAAAACACAATGTAGGAGATACCCAAAACCTTAACTACGGAGGAAACACTGGTATTAGTACAAACGATTACTACAGGAATGATCGTGTTACATATATAGGGAAAGGTGCACAGAATCATTTTTTAGGGGGAGGCAAGCCGAACAAGGGACAGAAATACAAATCCAAATGGTAAATACTCAAAGTGTTGAAAGTGAGAAAACATCTAAATCGACTAAAGAAAACAACCAAATAGACCCTAAAATATTAAATTTATCCAGCAGAGAACTGACAGAAACCGAGATAAAATTATTGCTGAAAGGGTTAAAATATACGCCAACACCACAGGCTAATAATCAGGAATTAAAAACGGATGTCAAAGCATACACTAGACGTTTGAGATTGTCTGAATATTTCCATACCGAGGACGAGGACATATCAGACCGAGAAGAAAGTGATCTTGTAAGAAATAAATCATCATTTAATCCGAAAAAAGGTAGGAATCGGACACTTGATGCTGTCTGTGAAACACTTGAAAATATTTCTTTACCTGTGAATTTTCAGCACATAAAGGCAAATCTTTCTAAAGAGGAAGAAAAAGCACTGAGAAATCTTTCAACAGATCCAAATATTGTGATCAAAGAGGCCGACAAAGGGGGCGCAGTTGTTATTATGAACAATCATTTTTACAAGAGTAAAATTATGGACATGTTGCAGGATAACAACTTTTACAAACAAATTCATGGAAATGATGATAGAAAAACCATGAAGAAAATAAAAAGTCTGATTCATGGACCCCTATGCCCAGATGTAACAGAAAAAGAGAAGGACTATCTAATTAATTTCGACTTCCGGGAAAGCCAATTTTATGGACTTCCTAAAGTGCATAAATCCGCTATAATAAAGGAAGCTATCAAAAATCAAAACAAGGAATACATTATCTGTCCAGATCCAGTAGACCTGAGTTTTAGACCGATAGTTGGAGGACCTAATGCACCTACACAGAGACTCAGTCAGTTACTGGATATTCTCTTGAAACCTCTCTGTAAAAAGGTAACTAGCTATGTTAGAGATGATCTCGACTTTCTAAACCACCTCCCCAGTAATGTCAACAAAGATGCAAAACTGGTTACCTTTGATGTTGTGAGCTTATACACAAATATACCGACAGATTTAGGAATACAGGCTGTAAAGTTTTGGATGGAAAAATACCCGGATATGATCAACAACAGATTTCAACATGATTTTATTTTGGAAGGATTGAAATTAGTACTTAATAACAATACTTTTGCATTTGCCGAAAACCATTACATCCAAACCGAAGGCACGGCAATGGGTACGAAGGTAGCGCCAACGTATGCAACCCTAACTTTAGGCTACCTTGAAACTTTACTTAAAAGTGAACTTATTAAAGTATGGGGAGAAGAATTTGCTGATTTGATAGAAACAAACTGGAAAAGATTTCTGGACGATTGCTTCATTATTTGGCACGGCGACATGGAGAAATTAACGCAATTTCACAAAATACTAAACGGGTTAAACTCCAATATTCAATTCACTTTAGAGATGAATGAAGAAAAGTTACCATTTCTTGATGTGTTAGTGGAGAAAAAGAACACAAGGATAACTACGGATATATACTACAAAGCCACCGATACACATCAGTATTTACACTTCGGCTCATGTCATCCAAGCCATACTAAAAGAGCGATACCCTATAATCTGGCAAGAAGAGTTTGCACCATAGTAAGTGAGGAAAGCACAAGGGATTTACGACTAGAGGAATTAAAATCTTTTCTTGTGAAACGTAAATACCCTTTACGACTAGTGGATGATGGTATAAAAAAGGCTAAGTCTTATGAAAGAACACAACTACTTACGACACGTGAAAATCGGGAGGAAAAACAAATTATACCTTTTGTTCATACTCACAATCCACGAAACCAAAACCTAACACCAGTGGTAAAACAATTAAACCTGATACTAAAGGAGGATGAGAACACAAACGCAATTTACCGAAATGTTCAATTTATAAATAGCAAACGCCAGGCTAAAAATTTAAAAAGAATTCTGTGCACATCCAGTTTCAAGGAAAATAATTGTTCCGTAACTAAATGCAATGACCCGAGATGCGGTACCTGCGACTATATTTTGGACGGAACCAGCTACAACTTCCGGGGCCGAAATTTCACTGTAAATGCTGACATGTCCTGTGAAACTAAGAACTTAATTTATGTCATAACATGCCCGGGTTGTAACGAATTTTACATCGGAGAAACTAGTACTACTCTGAGAGCTCGGATAAGAGTCCACAAACAGCATATTAATAACCCGCAATACAGACAAATTAAGCTTAGTGAACATTTAGATATATGCGGGAAGAGACAATTTACCGTTTTCCCGTTCTATAAGATGTCCGGAAACCAAATCCAACGAAGGGAAAAAGAAAAACACTTTATTACTACTTTAAAACCAAAGCTAAATAGCATTGTTTAACTTTCCCGTAATAACTGCTGGGAGAATTACGTCATAGAGACTGTATTACGTTCCGCTAATTATGACGTCATAGAAGGCGTTACTATGTGACAGTTAAAAACTTGATTGTAAAGCATCTGAAGATATTTTAAATGAAAGCGCTAATGCTTTACTTTGTTGTCTTCGTGTTTTCTTTTTAATTATTTTTACTATACAACTATACCGACCACTGTGAATTCATGGACTTCTGATATATATATATATATATATATATATATATATATATACAATAACATGCGACAGTAGGGCTGCATGGGTCAATGTATCGATTAACTATTTACAACTTACAGAATTGCTATGCAATATACATTGAATCCTCGCGTCATAGAAATATTACTTTACCATTTCCCCGCAAGCACTTTAAAGCGGGGTACAAATTTCTCTAAAGTTTAGCGTAAAGAATATTCTGATATAATGTTTTCATTAGAAAATAACTTTTCTTATTTTATGAGATTCAAGCAAGTATAAAATAGTTGGAATTTGGCACTATATTGAAGATTAAATGAATTTTTTAAAGTGCGTGAAAATGCGTGATTGCGGGGAAACGGTAAATGCGTGATTTTGCGTTAGAAATAGGAAATGGTATATGCGTTAAAACGCGTGACTGCGGGGAAGGGTGTTAATAAATACGTATCGGATTTTTCAGTAGAAAAGTTGAGATTTTCAGTCACCAGAGGTTATTTTCAACTGTTTTTTAAAAATTAAAACTGATTAACAATGAAACAAACAAGAAGATATCACATCTTAAATAACTATTACAGAATGCATTTATTAATATTAGTTTAACTGTCATAAAAAGTTTGAAGAACTGCGAACGATAGTATTGTTCTCCCGCCTACTCCAAGTCAATTTTCAAAAGTTAACATATTTTCAATATTTTTTATAGATAATTATATGGATTTTCATAAAACATTACTTATTTGGGAAAACAAAGAGATTTCCAATTTGGTAATAAAACACCCAATTTTTATCAAACTTTTGCATCATGTGATTTACAAGTTTTTGATAGACTTATTATTTATGTCATATCGCATTTTACTGGGGGTTAATTACTTGAAAATGTAATTAAATTCCTTCAAATGCATTGATAATTTTGACAATTACTTGCAACTACAATTACTTTGATTTTACCAAATGCAATTAATTACTCTCAATTACTTTGAAGATTGTAATTAAATACATATCAATAAATTCAGAAATATTTCCGAACAAAAACATTTACGTGAATATTTTCAAGCGCAAATATTATTAAATTTGATCTATCCAATTGCCCTTGGCAGTGTGTTATGCTGTATAAACATTAAATTATTGAATAAACTCAAGCTTATGCCAAATATTACAACCGGTAAATATGCATCATTATAAATCACCCTTTTAAAAGGTTTTCTTCAAGAATAAAGTATTTGAAACGCAATTGAAAAAAATATGACATTTTTAGAATATATTTAAATACATTCAAAATTTTCTCAATTATCGAATATGTTATGCATCCAAAGAAAATTAAAATGTTCAAACACGTATATCAATACACAAAAAATCCGGCATCAATATACTTTCAGTTATGTCTTATTACCGTCAGTGGACCAATAAAGCAATACAAATATCTTGGCTCCAAAAATACGTCTTCCTTCTCCATGAACGATAACATCATAGATATGTATTATTCGGACGGAGATGGCGGGTAGGTATAGTTTCATCACATTCCAAAAAATCTTCGTGTTTTTAAAAGTAAATTTAGTTGTTTTATGAATGGTTGAACACATGTTGAAGGTTTATTACGGTTAAGCAAGGAATGCATTTTTTTCTGCTACAGATACAACGTTATCTCATACTATATAACAATCAAAGCATTTTATTGTTTTAGTAATAATAATTATAGTACTACTAGGTATTTAGGTAGGGGGCAACTGAGTGCATTTTTGACCCCCGGGTGTCGCTGAGGGTGTTTGGGGATAAACGGAGTGCAAACCGCGCGGTCCGGGATCTAATCAGCCCAGTCCAGTATCAGGAAAAACCCACCTATATTGTGTTAATCAGGAATTCCTCTGACTCGATCCACCTTATCCCACCTCTCATGTTTTAGAGGTCCGTGTTTGCTCCGATGCTATTTTTTATTGTTCTATGGACTTTGATATTGAATACTGTTCGTTATCTCCATATCGTTCACTCTACAGCCTTGACTTATTCTTGGTCATCCCTGTAGTCACTGGCCCAATGTCAAAATTTTCCACATTTTAAGTCGTTCTGTTTATTAGGACAATCAGGGGACCAGTGTTCCATTTCTTTACATAGGAAACTTAAGATTTTTCCTTAGCTCCTGTGTCTGTGTCTTTCTGGAGGGGACCTCTTACTTTTCCCTCGCAATGGCCTTCCGTCTGGACTGTAATGATATCAAGTCAGACTGAAATCGAGCCAACTAAGCACTGTAGAAAGCCCAAGAAGATTTTTACAGTGTATTTAAAGGAATTTCCAGAGGAGGAAAACAGAGGATTTGTTCGGCGAATATTTAGAAACATGCTGCAAAATCCTTAAAACAATTCAATTGGACTGGTTATTACAGTCCAATTCTATGGGAAGAACTAAGCAATCTACCTTATCCCTCCTCGTCTTCCTCACCTCCCCCGAGACTTTTTGGATCTCGGGGGAGGTGAGGAAGACGAGGAGGGTTCTTCATCGGATACATTCCTTAGTCTTTGTAAGTGGTTTTCTCTGTTGGCTCTCTGCATTCTCTCTAATATTCTGGTATATCTTTTTCTGAGAGTTGATTCTCTATGAATGTTTTATAAAAAAAAATTCTTTCCAACTCTTTGGCCAGTCTTCCCAATCTTAAAAGGTGTGCTGGTAACAGATTTTTTCATGGCAGAATCAATGTTCACAGACGATTCATCTGACAACAGCATGAGCTTCATGTCAGAAACATGCAATATTTAAACAGTCTATAACGTCACGTCTCGGTAAACGTAGCTGTGATTTGAATTGCAAAGTCTCTATGTGCATTTCAGATCCTGGACTGGACTGATTAGATTCCCGACAGGCAGGGTTGACTCGGGGTGCACTCCGTTGCCCCTCCCCCACTCCTACCCAAGCGGGACCCGGGGGCCAAAAGTACACTCAGTTGATCCCCTACCTGGGCGCCTAATACTATCATCATTGAGAACGTGACTAAAATTGGAAAATACATTTGAGATGATAAGACACTAAAAGATTGAGAGAAGTTTAACTTTGATTATCATAAAAGTTGCTGATCAATAATAAATATTTGTATACATTTTTAGGACTTCATCAGTTGTTCACATTTCTTGTAATGACGGTACTTTGGGGACTTTTTTTGAACCTAAGGGAAGCACCGGAGGTCCATATGTAAGCTTACTGTAACTTAAATTTCAGCCCAGTTGAGCCATAGGCTTAAATGAGCCTTTTAACTGAAATAGAAAATCTTACCAAATTTTGATTGAAATTCATTTCAATAACTTATTCACCTATCATTTATTGATTTCTTTTCTTTACGAGGAAATGAACTTATCCACAAATCTGGCATGCATGCGCAGAAATGGTTCCTCCAAGTTATCCATTGGCACGATCCTTCTCATTGTGTAAGTCGGGGAAAAAGACCTATTACATAAGTCATTCCTCATCTGATTTTTAAAGACAAATCTAAAATTTTAATAATGAAGTCTGCTTATAGCTGTTTTTTATCAAAAGATATGATTTAACTTTGCCATTGTTTGTTGGTATCTTTGACATTAAATTTGCAGTTTTATGGCTAAACAAAGTTTTAAACTAACATGTATTTAATATCCTTTAGACATTTTCTCTGTTAAGAAAGGTTTTTTCCCCTATAAACTTGTGTTGTGTATGATTTCTTTAAAAATATATTTTTTTAAAAAAAGGAAGGGATACTTTAAAAAAAAATAATATGTAAATAGTAATAGTTCAAGATCATTTTAGTAAATTATACTCAAGTAAATAAATATACTAGCCTAAGTAATCAATTGCACAAATCGAACAATATTTCGATCAGTCAATCACCAGCTCCATCCAAAAGTGAATCGATAAGTTTTTCACTTTCAGGTTTGTCTCCCTTCTATTGCTATGTATATTGCAATTGGTCTGGATCGTTGAACAGAAGTTTGTTAGAAAGCAGAGCGGGTAACACTTTATCTCCGACTATGAATTCTGGAGCAGTGTGCCTGGCAATGTAAAGGTGTTCCTTTAAGCTTTTATTACTGCTTCAAGCTATATTTAAAATCTATCTAAATCCACTGGCACTGGGACTCTGGGAGACCTATTTTCTGCCGGAATAGACAACGAGTCGAATTACAAGACTGAAGAGTTTGTGTGTAACTACATGTACACATGTTTAGCTTTGAACATGTCAAAAATGCTTTTTTACAATAAAATGACCCTCAAATGTGATATTTTACCTGTTTCCATTGAAATTTTCTTGCTATCATTGATGAAATATGATACAGTTAAAGTATATCTTTGATGGAGTTCGCAAGATTCCAGTTCCCCAAGACCAGGACTAGCTACTTCCTGAGGCGCAGTGGAGGGAAATAGATCTGGTCGAGGGAACTGAAATCTTGCTAACTCATTCAATGATATACCTTTAATCTGTTTCATTATACCGATACAAGTGTAAAAAAAAAAATTCGAAACACGGGGAATTAGCTTTCAGAGCGGGGATTAGCTCCCTAGACTAACGCGTGATGATTAGTACATTAATATATTATACCGATAAAAAGGTAAAATCTAGAGAATTATAGATAACCGGAAATTAACTTCTAAAGCAGGGATAAGCTCATGTGACTAAAGCACTGGGATTAGTCCATTAACAGTGATTTCAAGGGAATTATTTACATTTCACTACCTAATTTTTATATAAGAAAAAATCAGTAGAAGTATAATTATGTACATTAAATCGACAAATTTGATGGACAACAAAAACTTTACAAGGATATTTCTTTTTTACAGATTGGTCTTTTGTATGCTGCGAAATGTGGAAAAACAGGACACCGATTTGATAAGATCTAGCGGAACATGACTGCTATTTCTCTTCAAAATGTCAGGAAGATACAAGCATAACTATAAATTTTTTTATTTCTTTAAAGAATGAAGCTTAGATGTTATACGATGTATCATAACTTAGGACAGTTTACGCTTTATATACACCAAAGTGGTTTTAATTGTAGATGGTAATTTATGCAGTGCATGGAATGTTTAGTATTTACTGTTTTGCTAACTAAAGGCTTTATAACTCTAATCTAGTAATGCTTATTAAAACATGATGCAAATGACACATTTTTGTGAAAGACAAGAATGAGTGCACTTTAGTAAGTGATTTGGAACCTTTTCGGCTATTAGTTTTAAGCTTTAAATTACAATATATCGCTAAATTAATCTATGATTATTGTGCATGCATATGCGCTTGACATTTATGCCTTGGATTTTTAGTCATACATATTTCTATATTTACAGACTGTCATTGTAAAGAACATGTATTTAAGCCTTTAATTCCGGAAATCTGAATTGGATCAATTTCGAATTTAAGGTATCCGCAAATAGGCGGAAACATTTAGAGGGGCTTGGGCACAGTTTCAACTGATTTTTTAAAACCAATTTTAATGTTTACAATTTCTACATAAGGCATCAGCTATTGATTAGCAAAAATTTGAACATTATTTGTTGATTAACAAACAAGATACAGAACTTAAAATTCTTCATAATGTAAACAAGGCTCGTGCCTTGTTTTTGTTTACATATAGAAAATATCATATTCATAACAAAATGAAGTTCAGCAAATCAATAGTAAGTGTCGAATCGTATTTAGAATTAACTTTTATTTGAAATTATCTACTTTGTACAAAGATATATTAGTACATTAACCTGTGAAAATAAAAACATGACACTAGCCTTGTTTACATAACAAAGGTTTGGAGCTCTAAATCTGTCTTGTATCTGGACAACTGGCATTCAAATTTTTTACGACCATTAGAAAGACCCTAGTTAAATATTTGTAAAAATGGAAAAATAAATTTTGAAATTTTTTAGCTGCAACTAGTACTGTGTCCATGCCCCTTTGATGTAAACATTAACACATGATTTTTTCGCATTCAGATTCTACACTACGAATTTTAAATGAAGAAGAGAGAGGTTGTGTAGTTTCATGGTGCACCAATAATAAATGGTTCTGGTGTTTAGGGATGAGGTGTGTCTGTAGATGCATGCCTCGCCCTGCAGGCATGCATTTTACGTCCCATCCGACAGACTTTAAATTTCTTTGATAAAATGACAAAGAACTTATAGATACATTCACTGATTAAGATCTCAAACATATTTTGATGACAAAGAATCAGTAGTGAATACTTACTTTTTCCCATAACTCTCTGCAGAGGGCTGACCACATTTTTTAATGAGTGTCTTTCCTTGGCTTTCTATAAGATGACAAAGAACATATAAACACAGAATCTGAATCAGAACTCAGACATACTTGGATGACAAAAGACCAATAATTTCTAGTACTTTAGAAGTTGTGCTCTCCCTAAAGGAGCTGTCACTAGAGCTACTGCTACTCAGAGACAGCTTCTTTTCTGCCTTTCCAAATTATACAAAATAGCACAGAACTTAGCCCCCAAAAATTAATTAATAGTTTCTCAGACACCGCTACTGCCGCATTGCTAATTTTATTAACATTTTGAAAAGGGAAATAACTCAATTTTCTATTTTTTCCAAGTTGAAAAAGAAAATTGAGTTAGTCCTCTTTTCGTAAATGCTAAAATCCAGGACATCTAAAAAAAACGTTTGTTTGCCCTCTCCCGACCGACTGATTAAAAAAAGCCAATCTTAACTCCATGAAGAAATTATTTTTGAATGAATATGTACTCTGGAAAATATAATTTGAAAAATTAGCATTGAAATTTTCTGAGGAAAAAAAACTTTCTCATCAATTTAAAGGTTAAAATGTCAAATATTGTTATATCCATTTAAAGGTCTTGTCAAAGTATGAAGATTAGCACCAATTGTTCAAAATTTATCACCAAGGTCAAAGTTTGGAAATTTTTGGTAGAGGTGTTGGTCAAACTCCAAGGTCATTTTCACAAAGTCAAATTTGGTGGTAGCCGAAGAAAGATCTAGTAACAAGGAATACACTAGTGAAATATGAAAAGCATTCCCGCACTCACTGAAAAGTTGTGGCCAAAGTAAAAATTTTGCAAACAAATAAAAGACGGGCGACACAAGGCAAAAGCTAAGTCTTCGATTACGGGGGAATAAAAAAGCCGCACGGTATTCAAAACTTGTTGATTGTCATTAATGATCACTTGACTTCGAGCCTGACCAACATCTTATACACTTTGACCTAACAACTAACTTTCATTGTACTTACCCGCATTGAAATAGTTCAAACATGTAATAGAAATTGATTAATCCTGAATCTCTGTTCATCAGACGAAGTATTTACATAGCTGTGTACTAGTATTATTACCGGCCGCCAGGAGGCGGTCGGTTATTAGTCAGCCCGCGGGCTGACTAGTTATGGTACGAAGAACTTCCAATGCGCTTGCGTGACCTGGAATTCTGGGAGTGGTTCTGCAGTAAATCACTCCTGCTAATTTTATTTCAGTAAAATCAATATACACCAAGAAATCAATATAAACCAAGAAATACACGTTTAACACCAAGGCAATCTGTAAATTTAACTCAGAAAGGAATTTCCCGATGCTTAATTTTGTATAGAAGATTTCAAACTGTTTACTGGTTCGCAGTAATTTATAACTGGTTCGCACCTGATCATGTGTTCTACGCAGCAAAGCATACAGTTGCTACTGTTGGATGAATTTAGTGTTTGTCGCGACAATTGAAGCTCTTTTATAAAATATATTGAACGTATTTTACTTATGTATTTAAATCTTAAATAAATAAAACACAAACATTGGTTTATTACATATTTTTGGCTTTTCAGTTTTTACTGCTTTTACTTTCGTTTTCACTATTTCGATCCCGATGCTAAATAGCGGACAGACTTGATAAGTCATACAAAAGATACTTCGGAAAGTAAACACAACTGGCTAAGCTTGCTCGTTTGTTGCCCCCCGCTGAAATTAGAGAATATCAATTCCAGTCTGTATGTCCGTTCATATATAGTTCTGTCTGTCTGTAACACTTTCACTTTCCTGCAATATTGCGTGAAGTCTTTGGGCTTTTGCAGTGAAAGTTTACACAACTATTTACACCTTATATGGCCTTTGGAAGACCCTCTTGATTTTGAGGTCAAAGGTCAAGGTATTAAATTCAGAAATTCTGTCTGTTTTAACACTTGTTTTCCCGCGATATCTCTATAAGCCATTGAGCTTTTGCAATGAAATTTTATACCAAAACTCCCTATGGCCATATACATGATCTATATGGCGTAAGGAATACCCCTGTGTATTTTGAGGTTCAAACGTCAGTGTCATAAATTCATACTTCTGTGTGACTCTGTGTAAGACTTTCATTTCCAGTCAATATCTCAAGAAGGTTTTGAGTTTTTACAATTAAATTCATAAACCATAACTCCCTATGGCCATGCCCTGGAACACCCCCCCCCCTCCCCGATCTGCGCATGCTTTTTTATCCGTAAATTGGCTTGTTTTTCATAAACTACGACCTGATGATCTAGGTTGTGGCAATCATATTTATGAACTAATAGGTTTATTATATAAAAAGAGGTCTGATAAATGAATTTATAACTTATAATTTATAAGACTGATTCAACCGGCGGCATGATAAACTCTAACAAGGATGATAATGAAGCTAATTGGGCTCCGTTTTGTTAAAAATGGCATAATGTCCATATATCCCTCTCCCCCTAAAATCTTATAGACCTGATAATGAGATTGTAGGTTTATAACCTCTTTGAATTATGTTACGTAAATTGGAACTTCAATGTTTATACATACTTTCCGTTCTTTTGATTTTGAGATAAAAAATGCAAGAATCTGCATGCACAAATGCTTCTGTTCCTATGCAGAAAAAATATTAAGACGATGTTTTAATTTTAGTGCCCAACTCTGCTACTAATTAAAAAAAAGATTTGTTTTTAAAAATTTAGAAATTTATTTTGTATATTGTTAAATGGACGTTGAGATTGAATACTGTTAGTTATTTCCATATCCTTCTTGAAGGCATTTTTTCAGTTCTCTATGATTATTTAAAATATTATCACAGAGAAGAAAATCCACTGGCTGACTCTCTAATCAAAAGACCTAGCAGGCTACAGAATATTACGAGATATAGCCCTTAGCAGACGACGATAATGCACGTTTTACAATGTGCCAAGAATTTTCCCGCTACAACTCAAAGAAACTGAAAGAGAAGAAATGTAGTGGCGGATCTAGAGGGAGTTTAGTTTTTTCCTCTAAGAGAGAGCAAGGAGCCCTACATATTTGTTGCGTTTTTATTAAATTAAAACTGCACTGCATATCTAGTTGTAGATTACATTAAACTTTAGTTTTAAACTTTTAATAATGTACATGCCTCTTAATTATACAGGCCCACGGCTTGTTGACACAGAGGACCAGGGGTACTTTGCTTATATATATATACATTATAACATGTAATACTGAACATGCATCATATATTAATTAAGAAAACCATGCAATGTCGTGCACAAGCGTTTAATGTCACGAGGATATACATTAACAGATAAATATAAGATATTTTAAAACAGATACCATTTCAGTCTTTAGTTGCTTCATAAAAGGAACAATTAATTGGTTTGCGGCCGATTTTGACGCTTGCGTCAATATATGTTTCTTGTATATTCCGATATAAAGGTGACAAATTCCCTTACGAAACTTCAGTTATGTGGAATCCAAACGAAAAACAAAACTTGTATTCTTTAATCTAGTTATCTCATTTCTTTAATGCTCTGGTGATGTATCTCATTAAAGTAATGAAAAACCTAACTATCCTTATACGTATCACTGAACTGATTGCAAAATGTAAGATTCATTCATTGCGCCCTGTTACTCTTCGGAAGATTCTTTAAATAGATTTGTCCCTTCATGTCCTCGTGTTCCCATTTTATGCTTAGAACGAATGTGTGTTACCGCTCAATACAATTCAAAGATTTCCTGTTTTCCAATGAAAGAAATTTCATTTCCTTCAATAAAAATCATTTATAATGTATTTGTTGCTTACGTCGCAATAGCACGGATCGTAACACTAATCGTAGAATGGATAGCCTTATCTTTTTCAGAATAAT